GAAAGGTATTTGCCAACGAGTGGTTGGCAGAATTCTGCTAAGCTAATTGGTTGAAAGAGATCGCCTTTCAACTAATAGGAAGTCTAAATGCACACAGACCAGTGGTCTGTCAAATGTAACCATTGGTGTGTCTCACACCAATGTGAAACCCATTGCCGTAATCAAGTGGCTACATGTAGCCACTTGCGTGTAACCCCGTTACAACATACTCCCCGGAATAATTCCTTTTTCTTCTTCAGTATCCGCTGTTGTCGCGTTGTATCTCCGTTGTCCGTTCATACCACATTTGCTACAACGATTTTTCTCTCGTTTCGTCTTGGATGGAGCTGAAAGCTGAGTCTCGAAAAAAACTGCAACATGCTTTGTTTCTTCATCATTTAGTCCCTCAGTGGTCAGGTTGGGCAGGTCCGCTTCAGAACGACTGGATTTTGCAGCGCCCTCACCGCGGTTGTTTTTCTCTTTCTTCCTCTCATTAAATCGGGATTATCTTTCTTTCGCACATCCGGCTTACCGAATAGTGGTGGCGGCAAAATAGTACTGGTTTCCGACAGCTCGGCGTCCAGCGGCAGTCCAATAGATAGAGATTCGACAGCTTCCTGTAAAGTTGAAACCAAATACGCGGGGTGGGAATAATTCCGTACATTATACTCTTCTAGGCGACTATCCGAATTTTTTGATCTATCGTAGATAACGGCTTGAATGTGCCGACATGGAATTCTGAATTGTTTGGAAATAGTGCGCCGAGTACACAAACCATTATCCATGTTTACCTCGTACAAATGCGCGTTGTCACTGCTATTGCTGCGAGAATCAAACGCATCAAACACGTAAAAGATTAGCGCATCTCCCACGACAACAGTTGGTTGCGCAACCAGAAGCTTTTCTGCATCAAATAGTTTCATGGCATGGGGAGTAACATTATTCCCTGCATTCTTCCATTCAGTGGCCAAGTTTTTACGCTTCTGAATGACAGTAAGAGCTCGTATGCAGTATGCCGTTAACGATTCAAGCACAAGCTTGGTTCTGGCCCGACACCATAACAATCCATTGTTGTCACCCTCAACTGGTTGTGCGAACTCCGAATAACGGGATAGGTTGTCCGTGACTAGAAGTATTTTTCCAAAATTGACCTAACCATTTCGATTCTTCTTCTGTAGGCTGGATGTCCCCGACAACAGACCAATCTGTATGATGAATCTTCTGCAAGTAGCTCCATACATAGTCGTTGTCTGGTAGATCATTCACCAACTTAGCAATTCCAACTGGGTAGCGGGTTTCAGATCGAGCTTAGTTGTTGCACCTTGTGAGGTGGCGCGCATGGTCTGGTTTGTCTTATGATCCCTTCCCGGGGTTCACTTATGAAAGTATATAAATATCGACCTTAGCATTCTCCCATATAATTCAATATGATGATTTCCATACT